GGCAATTTTAGGAAGGAAATTAGGAAGACTACAGAAGAAACTATGAAGACTCACTATTCAAGAGAACAACAAATGTGATAAGCACGTCCAAATCAGCAAAAATTTTTGCCCAGTTGATGAAAGTAACTCCATCGGGAATCGGCTCTGGGGTGCCAATGGCTTGAGCATACCATCTGTAAGGAAGTCAGAATCAACTGCTTGAAGACAAACTGTACCCTCAGCCTGAATAAGGGTCGTTTCCATGCGCGAGGTGAATTGGTCCACAGCTGTGCAAGGTGAGCTGGTCTACGTGCCACTTTCTCCACTCAAAAAAGCGCGGGAACTGACCAGGAGGATGGTGGTACTCGGCCGGTGCTATCGGCAGTGTGCAGCATTTGCGTCGACACCAAGGTCCCACAGCGAAACACGCACTCAGCCGTAGAGAACAGCCAGAAGTGAGAGGGTGCAGACAAACAGCGCGTCCCGGCTACGATTAGGCGTGTGATTGGCCGATCGGCAGCGCGGGCTGAGTATGGAGAAGTCAGTCAGGAGCCGCTACCCTTCATCTTCGATCCCGAACACCTTTGACAGGAGAAACTGGCACGCTACTGCAACGGCGGGCCCATTCGCCTCGCACAGGGCAAGGACTAGGATCCACAGAGGCGAGTGTACAGTTCGCCTTGGCTACAATAGTCCCGATGTGCAGGAATACTTACATGTCTGCTTCGATAAATGTTACAATAGCTACAATTAACAATGAAGGCAAAGCCAAAGAAAGCAGCACAATGTGAATGAAAGGTGGCCACATCATATGAAGGGCTCTGACTGCAACAAGGCCAGCAAACGATGATACCTGAAATAAGAGTAAAGTCACTCACGAAGCCAGAGTCCATGCCGAAAGCTACTGCTTTAGTTATATTTTCGTTCCATCAAACAGACCTTCTCTGTCCTTTTGGAGAGTTGCAAGGTACAGTCCTCATCATTGCGGACTGTCGGAGGCGGCGTGAGCAGCGCGGTTCGAGTCCGCGTTCGGCTCCTTGCTCTACCAATGGCGATCGGGTAGAGATCGATCGGGAGAGACCAACCAATGATGGAAACGACTGAGGATCCGCTGATTGCGACCCGACAATTGCGGTGATGTCAAGTGTAGTCTTGACGTTCAGTCAAGTGTGAGAAAAGCCTTTTCATAAACTTTCTTCACCAATGGCTCTTTCGACCTTGGCTCCTTTTCTTTTGGACATCGCTCCTCCAAAACATCGTCCCTTCCCCCCCCCCCCCCTTCCGAAAGCCAGAGGAAATTCGTCGAATTAATGTTTTTCCCAGTTTTCAGCTCAGTTCCCTTGTCAACACTCTACAGAAGAGTTCGAAACCTTCTTGATGAAGAGCTTTGGCAGTTACAGTTGCTACAGTTTATATCACCGCGACCTGTCGGGTCGCAATCAGCGGTTCCCACCTGCGGCCTTCCCACCAGTGGCTGATTCCTTCCTACATCGATCATTGCTCGATCACCATTGGTAGAGCAAGGCGGCCGGACGCGAGCTCGTGCCGCGCTGCGCTCGCCGCCCCCGACAAATTGCAATGTTACAAACTATACACATACACTGGTTAGGGCACATCGTTGTTGGAGAATCCCCAACAGGGGGGGTCGTATTTGGCCGCCAGGAGAGGGGGGGGGTCGTATTTGGGCTGAGAAAATTTATTTTGATAGTTGATTTTTCTCGCTTCACGGACGTTGTAAAGGGGGGGGGTCGTACTTGCTCATTGTTGGGAGGAGGGAGGGG